TCTAAATTTTCAGCGCGGCATGAGAGTAATACAACCAGTGACGTCACTAGGGTAACCCGAAAGCACTGACCCCCGGTCCGCGGACCCCCACTACGGACCGGGTCCGCGAACCACCTATGGACCGGTCCACGGACTACCCCTACGGACCCCCCTACGGACCACCCCCCAAATTAGAATGGAAAAAAAAAAGGAAATAAATATTTCAGTTATGGGTTGTCTATTCGTGTCGGCGAAATTTCAAACTTTACATTTTGCAAATTCAACGTTCGTGGGGTTCAAGCTCGGGCGCAAGTTGTATCATTACACATTGTCATTTCCTTTGCCGTGGCCATACTGTATATGAAAGACAGTGAAAGTCTCCAGCAAGTCTCCAGGAAGCCTCCGGGAAGCCTCGGAATTTGTGCTCTTTCCCCTCCACCATTTTGTTCAGCCCATTCTCACGTGGATTCGTGAACTCGCCTTCCAGGCTTCACAATTTGCTCAGCGCAGTTACAGATACAAACAAGCTTGAACGACCTAAAAACTCATCTTCCATAGTCAGATTGAGCGACGAATGCAATGTAACAATTTTCCTTCTTTTTGCCATCGGCATCTCCTCACGCTGAATAAAGCTTATAGGCTTTTTTTCCGGGGGGCGGGGGGAAGAAGGGTGTCAATTACATTTGCACAGTGTAATGCTCGAAAATTCGCCGAGACGAGTAATCCATTAGACATCCCATGAGTGAAGTATTTATTTCTAGTTTTTATTATATTTTTGGGGGGTGGTCCGTAGAGGGGGTCCGTAGGGGTAGTCCGTGGACCGGTCTATAGGTAGTCCGCGGACCCGGTCCGTAGTGGGGGTCCGCGGACCGGGGGTCAGTGTTTTCGGGTTACCCGACGTCACTAGGCTGTTTTGGCCGCCCCAAGATGGCTGCCAATTTTGGGCTTAAACAGCCAACTTCGAACGGCTGAAAAAGCAGTTTTCGCTAACCGTATGCGGAAAAAAAGTCTGCAGTGTTTCCAAGTATGGTTGAATCTTTATTAATAAGCAAAATCTCACATACAAAAATTTCGTTTCAGTAGCACGTGAAACAACGCGCGTAAAGCCGTTGATGGTTTCCAAAGTTTTTCAAATACGATCGGCCATCGATCGATCAACGGACTTTGTTTGACTTCGTTGCTGTGTAAGTGCTACAAGTAAATGCTAAACAACGCGCGTAATCAAACAAAGATATTTAGATTTAATAGTTCTTTAACTACGCCAAGGTCAAATATAACAGAAAAGGTTTTACAGGCGGTTGACACTTTACAGGGTAAACGCCGTTGGATGGTTTTCAAAATTTTTTACATACGATCGGCCATCGATCGATCAACGGACTTTGTTTGACTTTGCTGCTATGTGAGTGCTACAAGTGAACACTAAACAACGCGCGTAATCAAACAAAGAGATTTAGATACTTAGAGACAATCGCACTTTAACTACGCCAAGATCTCGGTCGCTTTTTAAGTCCTTTAACTACGAACATGTTTAACAAAAAGGTTTTTACATGCAATCCATACTCTACAGGGTTACAGTTTTGAAATTTGATCGGCCATCGATCAACGAGCGCGAATTACCAACGAGAGCGTCAGCGACATTGGCAGACACATCGGCATGGTGTGGGGGACAGAGAGAGATTGGGGCGAGTGAAACTAACAATTACAAACATGTCATCAACATCGGGACGACTATAACATCAGTTAGGCAAATAGAGACAATATTGTAAGCATATATACACTTAAATTATATCATGGAGCGAAGTAACTCCTGTATGGGGCGAAGTGACTCTTGTATGGGGCGAAGTTACTTCGATTATGGGGCGAAGTGACTTTTGGTTGGGGCGAGGTGACTGGGGGCGAAATGACCATGGGGCGAAGTGACCGGATACCGGTGCAAGTCCTAGAGAGAGACCATCATGTAAAAATATAATAAACATCTTTGCCACAAGAAAACTTTTTGAGATGGTCAGCGCTAAACTCCGTAGTAGATGGTAGTAGGTAACATTTTCGACTGTATTTTCGTGTTCCTATCGTCAAGTTATGGTTCGTGATAAAGACACGTGAGTGCAAGTTTGAAGAGTCTTTGAACGAACAAAGATGCAGTGGTAACACGGGGTCAGGCAAGTGTTTCAGTTCAACTGCAGTTTGTTGCATAGTCCAACCACTTGTAGGCAATACTGCCTAATAAAAGGGTAAAGATCTTACAGCTTGAACAGTCCTACTTGGGTACGGTTCATAATTTATGTAGGGGGGAAGAGGGAGGCTTTGATGATTTTATCAGATTATTTCTTGGAAGCACTATAGTTTGATGTCCTCAAACTAGCGCTTGTCTTGAAAGATCTAAGGCATTTTCAAAATGCACCTGGAAGAGAATATACCTGGGTACAACTATTTTGTACATAACTGCGCTATGACGTCGGAGAAGTTTTTATCGCATTTGTTCAGGATTCATGTACATCGAAAGTGAGAGTAACGGTATTCAACTGGTATACCATGATGGGCAGAATATCACAAAATTCTGAAGATTAAGTTACCTAATTTTTTTAATTACTTGTTTGCATGGAAAACTGCAACTACTCATCAGTGACGTCTGCTAGAAGCACAAATCCAAAAATCCTTTTATTGATGGAAAGATTGACATTTTGAAACCTGAAGAACAAACGAAATAGTCTATTGTCCAGACAGAAACCTTCAACATAGGAAGTGGAAGAAGGGCAAGAACAACTTGACTGTTCTTTAGTATTCTTTCTTATGCTGTAATTTGGAAATTTTCGAAAACCACCCTTCCTCCGGGCTACCCTACCCCAAAAGCTATCGTAAAACAATCATGACCCTCTTCGGACGTTTCCCTTTCATTCCTATTTTTTCGTTCCATTTACTCCGCTTACGTAATAGAAGTGCAAGAAAAACTAGCCAATCATCATGAAGTTCTCACATGGTCTGTCGAGCGCCCTCAGAGGCACGGTCTTGTTCTAAGTGAGTGTGTTCATGTTGGGGAGTCTGTCCGTTTTCACTATTTTTCGTAAAGATTTCAAGGTAAAACAGTCACCATTCCGCGTTTAAAAGAGGGAAGAGTTGTCTGCTGCGAGCCTGCGGTGAAGGTGAGTCGTTTTCTCCGTCAAATTAAGTCGATTTTCTAGTAGTTTCGTACGTCGAAAGCCATGTTGACTGAAACAATGGCGGTTCTATCAAACTTTCTCTCGCGTATTTTAGGGCGGCCACACTGCGAAGATCTACTCTAACTGTCCAGAAGCTGACTTCCTGAAGAAGGAAAAGTTCGAATTTACCTTCAACGTGGATTCCGACCCAAGCTAGCGTTTGCTAAGGGTGTATTGGTAATAAAAGTTGTGTAAGTATAGAAACCAAGCTTGAATCCCCTCAACAACATTAAGTGTACAAAGTCCTGCAGTAGTTTACACCTTGCAAAAGAAGCGAAATAACTCGAAGTAGATTTTACGTGGCAGAAGCAGTTGTGGTGTAATTATATCATATGCCAATAAGGACACAGCCGTGTCATGCCAGTAGATATTCTCAACGTGTCAGTTAAAGCTTACATGTGTTAATTTGTCTGCAAGTGCAGTTTGTATATTGTACTGTTTAACTTTTATGCCAGTCTTCGTGAATTAGTAATAAATCTTGGTCTAAAACAGTTTTATTTTTGGATGATAGTTTATAACTTATCATTTCAATGATCTTCCGTGGATAGTGCTTCGGATTTTCTGCCTTGGATAAAACAAGACAAACACTTTGAGGGTTGCCAGTGCCAAAGGCTCATTTCATCGGACGTATTTTTTTGATAGACTTAACATTTTATTGCTGTCAGTCCTGACCATATCATACATGAAATAAGATGCACTTCAACACATTACAGCCATGTACTTGTCAACTGTTCAGGGGCAGCTTTGATGTGCTAAAAATCTTCTTGGGAACAAGCGTTGGTGCTCATGGCAAAGACAAGGGGACAAGGGGACAAAAATTCTGGTATTAATTTCTGGAAACTTTCCTGAAACTTTTAGTGCAACTAACTTCCCAGATTTTGTTTGCTTAAATAAATTTCCTAGTTTTTCTGATCACTGCTGTGAAAAAATTATTGTAGTGGCTATTTTCAGAAATTTTCTATGAATTTTTAAAGTTTGTATAATTGACCTTTTCCACAGCCACGACCGAGAAATAGCGAAGAATGGGACAAGTTGGTCTCTGATGTTATTGAAAGAGTGACAGTGTTTTGGTTCTGAGTAGAATATATGCATATGCATTTAGCGTGTGCAAAAAGGACTTTTAAAACAAGAGAACAGTGAAAGAGAAGTGTAATCATTTAACTGATACCATACTGAACCTTTTGTCAAGATCATGTCGAAGGATTTGTAAAGAGACTTTCTTTAACAAGGGTGACACTTAATAGCAAATAAAAGCTAACAAACATGTGGCCCTCCGAAATTACGATAAATTACAATAATTCATTACTAGTGTGAAAAATGCAGATATGTGTAACTTGCAATGTTTATGCTCGTACACACTAATTGACCATTCATATATATGGTTGGGTGACAATAATGAAGCGAAAAGACAAATTTTTCTGCGCTTTTGAATAATTAACAGACAAATATGCTCTCATTGTTATGAACTGTCAAGGGTTCTATAAGAGTATTTAAAGAAGCGTTGTATGTAGATTAGTTCTCTTGGTGTTGTCGCCGTACAGCCTCCACTTTAGTGCACGATAGCAAGTAGTGTGACATGTTTTTTGTTGTTGTTTCACACAGGTTAGCGGTGTCAGGCAATTTAGACGAGAGTTTCAGTTTACCCTGGGAGTTTATCTCACATTTGCATATTGTTTGCCAATCGTGGCGATTATGTGTTTTTATCTCTTGAGTTAAATTTATTTTCAACCACTGATCTGGAGCAATAGGCAGGGCTGGACTTTGACTCCATTGCATTTTAAGCTTACATTGCAGGGAAAATTTGGGAAACTGAGGGGAATGTTTGAATCCAGAAATGTTTTGACACTCCAAAATCTGCAAGTTAAGTCAAAGTCAAATTACCACTCTTCTTCTTCATTGACTTCTTTATAACTCTTTGATAGCTGTAAGTTAACTCTTCAGCCATTGTTTTAACCTTGAAAAAGCCAAATGGGCTGGAAATTGTCAATTGTGACCTGGAGTGTGGCCGCCTTGACTGGTGACCCGCACTTCAAAATCGAAAAAAAAAAAATTATGCACCATAGCCATCCTAATCATAGCTAGACTGAAATGTATTGCTAGATGATACAGTTCTTTCATCCATTTTTGATAAAATATGTAGGACAGATTCCCCAAATATGTTTTCATAGTGCTCAAAGCCCTGCAAAACGTCTCTTGAGTGCTTTCAACCAGTTCATCGGATGATGTCACTAGAAGCCCGACCCAGATCCCTCTTTTGCTCAGTCGTGGCCGCAGAAATTACAACTTTAAATTCCTGTAGAAACTTGGGGATTTTACCAATCAAGATAATTTTTTCACTGAAGTAATTGGGAAAACTAGTAGATTTCATTAGAGGAAAAATCGTTGTGGGGGTTAGTTGCACTTAAAGTGCTTACAAGAAGTATATTTCATTATAGCTCATTATTAGCTTACTAATTTGAGACTTTATTTACAGCCTTCCTTTTAAATCATTTTCAAGATGAAGTGTTTAATTGGAGATGGTGTCTCTGTCGACATCCTGAGGGATGACTTGACCTGCCTGGACATAATTGAACAAAAACTTAGCACTGTAGGTCGAGAGGTTGGTTCTTGGTCGATTTCTACATTTTATGTTTTTGTCCGCTGTACTTTGGATATCTGGGCTGGTTCAGTGGTATAATTTTAACATGGTTTATTTGCCCCTAGGACTCTGATGATGCCTTCTACATTGTAGACTTGGCTGACATTCTTCTTAAACATAAGAAGTGGGTTTCTCTCCTTCCTAGAGTTGAGCCCTTTTATGGTAAGTTTGCCAAAGTTACCTATCAAGGCATTTTTATTGATGTCAAGTGATTCTGTGTGGATTACTGGCTGGTTTCATCTTGGATCTCCGTAAAACTTGATCAACCTGAAAAAGTGGATGCTGCTAAAGTTTTGCAGGATAATCTAAAGTTTTGCAGTATAGCATTACTAGCTATGTGTCACACTTCCTCTTGGGTAGACTGAATTAAGTTATGCATGACCCACTGAAAGGCATGTTTAACAATTTTTTTTTTTCAGCAATGAAGTGTAACAATGATCCAATAATTCTTAAGATGCTAACAGGGCTAGGAATTGGATTTGATTGTGCAAGCAAGGTACATGACCTAAATATAAATACATAAATATAAATATAACCTTTATTTACCCTCCGCAGCGTTTATAGCACAAAGGTTAGTGGGGGTGAGCAAACAACTAAAACAAATGATTCAAATTGATCATAACATTGTTAAGAATCCCAAGTGGCCAGGGCAAACCAGTTGGTTATTTACATGTGTGGCCGACGATTTGAACTCTGGACTACCTGAAACAAACCTAGGTAGTGGTCAGAGCGGGACTTGAACCCGGGACTGCTCGATTGCAAGTCCGACACGTTGGCCACTGACCACTCGGCCACACTGCCTCCATGACCTAACCTTCTGTGACTGTTAGACAAGTAGACATCTCAACAGATGTTTTATTACAACGACTGCAGCTATGTGGAGTTAACGTCTTCAATAATTATTTATTTTGTAGACTGAAATGCAGACAATGCTGGGCATGGGTGTTTCACCCTCAAAAATTGTGTATGCAAATCCATGTAAACAAGCATCTCATATAAGGTTAGTGAAGAAGTTAAGAACAGAGGTATCTTCATTTGATGTTAATTACATGTACACAGGGTTGTCGCTAAATACCGGCTGCTGCCAGCAAGAAAGAGGTGATCTCCAGCTGGATTTTGGTGGGCGGTCACAGGGAAAAGGACAACGAACTTTTTTTAGGTTGCACACGTACAACCATTTGAGATCTAAACCATATCAAACCGACTAATTGAAAACTTTGGAATAAATTCCTGACAACCTCGAGTATCGGTGCCACTATAACGAGTATAATGGAAACAAAATCTAGTCTTGAGCACTTGTTTAGCATTCTCTCTTTCCATGTACCGTATTTTCCCGTGTATAAGTCGACCTTTCAAGACCTAAAAATCAGTCCAAAAATTCGCCCTCAACTTATACATGGGTCAAAACTTGAGATCCAAGCGCCAGTCAAATAATTAGCATAATAATTGTCTTTCAGTGTTAACAAACATGTAATAAGCGGCAGCACAATTTACAACGTATGTTCGCTTGGTGATCTGTTTCTCTATATCAGAGCTTCAAGTTAAAATGCATCAACATTTATCTGCTAAATGTTAACCTGAATCTTGTAGACACTCATTGGCTCAATTT